GAGTTGAATTTTGTTCAAATAATACAAAATTAAGTAAGGGTGTTTTTTAAAACTGATGAAAACACTTTGGTATAGAAACCCTATTAATTTCATTCAAAAATTAATATATTTCTCTTCATTATGAAACATTTCAAGTCATTAGACAAATATAGGCAAAAATACAAGGACCACTGGTGTGCCTACCAACTAACTTTATCAAAACTCAACCTTGTACCATAATTCCTTCTCATCCCATTACTTCCTATTATTCCCAGAGGCAACTACTATCTTGAAGTTGGTATTTACCATCTTTGTGAATGACTTTACACTTTAATAGCATGCGTATATATAACAATATATAACAATAAGCATTTATAGTGTTCTTTGCAAGTTTTAAAATTTTGTATCAGTAGCAATATTTTGTACATATCTTTATGCAACATATTTTTTTCCATCCAATATTATGTTGAAGCTTTATTTTAATGTTTATTTATTTAGCTATGCCAGGTTTTAGCTGTAGCATGTGGGATCTATTAATAGTTCCCTAACCAGGGATGAACCCAGGTTTCCCACATTGGGAACACGGTGTCTTAGCCCCTGAACGACCAGGGAAATCTCTATATTGAAGTTTTATATCCAGGACACTCTCTAGCATTTATTTGCATAGCTGTATGGTATTCCAGTGAATAAATATGCAAAAATTTATTCACACAGTATGGTTGGAAGATTTTTTATTGTTATTATTATTAATAATTTGCTTTCACCAGTAGTGCTATGATTTTTATACATATTTCTTTATGCATAAGTGGGAGATACTCCCTTGGGTATTGATATTGAGCTTAATATGCTTAAAAATGACCTGAGTGACTTGTTAAAGTACACAGACACTGATTCAGTAGACTGAAGGTAGAGTTTGAGAATTGGAATTTCTAACAAGTTCTCAGGTGATGTTGATGGTCACTGGACCACATAATTAAGTAGTAAAGCAGTGGGTTTGTCCCTGGGAGTTAAGTTTCTAGATGTTCCAAAATTTCTTCTCAAAATGGTTGTAGTAGTTTTCTATAGCTGCCATAAGAAACTGACATAAACTTGCCCAAAATAATACAAATTTATTATCTTATATTTCTGTAATACAGAAGTCTAGCATGAATCTCACTGGGCAAAAACCCAGGTCTTGGAAGGGCTGGGTTCCTTCTTGGAGGTTGTAGGAAGGAATCTGTTCTTTGCTTTTCTGGCTTCTAGAGACCACCAGCATTCTTTGCTTTGGGGTCTCCTTCCTTCATCTTCAAAGTTAGCCACACAGCATTCTCTGACCCTGCTTCCATCACTACACCTCTTCCTCTGATTCTCTCTTCTGCCTTTCTTTGACTTAAGCACCCTTGTGATAACATTAGGTCCATCTGGATAATCTAGGATTTTCTTCTTATATGGTAACCTAATTTTATCTTCAATGCAATGAAACATATCGTGTTCACAGGTTGCAGGAATTAAGATGTGGACAACGTTGGCAGGGGTCATTATTCTGCCTACCACCATGATTATAACAATTTACGTACCTATCAGAAGCATGAATGTTTCTGTTGCCAACATTTAGTCTTGGCAGACACCAGTTTTTGCCAATCTAACGGGTATAAAAATGTCACCTCATTTTTTGTTCTAATTTTCATTTCTTTAATTACTTCTGAGGCTGAACAACCTTTTTATGTTGCTCTGCCATGATTTAGCCTTTCATTTCCTTTGCCTGTTTTCAATCAAGATGTCTGTGTTTTCTCACTGATTTGTGAAAGTCACTCAGTCGTGTCTGACTCTTCGCAATCCCATGGGCTATACAGTCCATGGAATTCTCCAGGCAAGAATACTGGCGAGGGTAGTCTATCCCTTCTCCAGCAGATCTTCCCAACCCAGGAATCAAACCGGGGTCTCCTGCATTGCAGGTGGACTCTTTACCAACTGAACTATCAGCAAAGCACTGATTTGTAGAAGTTCCTTATTTATTCTGGACACTAACTTTTGGTCTGTCTGTTTTAAAGTTGTAATCCTAATGGAGTTGGTTTTTAAATTTACTTTATGGTTTATAAATTTTTAAATTGAGAAATCTTTCCCTACCCATGTTCATAAAAATATTCTACTATATTCTCTCCTAATGATTTTATGTCTTTAATCCATCTGGATTTTATTTTTTTGTGTATATAAGGAAGGGATCTAATTACAAATTTATTTATGTGTATGTGTATATAAACAATTGTCCCAGATCAATGTATTCAGTGACCAACTGTTTCCCTTTTGATTTGTAATACTTCTTTCATACGTAAAATTTCCCGTGTATATGGGTCTGGTTATTTATCATACCTTCACCAGTTATGTAATACTAAGTCACTTCAGTCATGTCTGACTCATTATGACCCTATAGACTGCAGCCCATCAGGCTCCTCCGTCCATGGGATTCTCCAGGCAAGAATACCAGAGTGGATTGCCATTTCCTCCTCCAGGGGATCTTCCTGACCCAGGGATCAAACCTACGTCTCTTATGTCTCCTGCATTGGCAGGTGGATTCTTTACCACTAGCACCACCTGAGAAGCCCTTTATACATTTTCTTAATTACAATTTATAATAAGTCCTTATACCTCACAAGGCAAATTTCTTCATTTTCTGCTTCAAATTCCCCTTGGCTACTTTACATAAATTTTACCATTAGCTTGTCAACTTCCTTGTAAAGCTAAGTTAGGATTATTTTTCACATTGAATATATAGACTAATTTGGTATAACTGACATTTCTGTGCAACTGAGTCTTCTTATTCAAGAACATGATATATTCTTCTATGTAATTTTTTTATATCTTTAAAAATTTGTGATATTAGCTGTGCCTTGTCTATCTTTTATTTAATTGATTCCTAAGTATTCCATAGCTGTTGTTGCTACTGTAAATGGAAGTTTTTGGTTTTTTAAAGATGTTTTCTATTTATCTGCTATATTAAGAAATCAATAAATTTTCATACACTGATCTTTCATCCAGCAAAACTTGTTTAGTTCTTTTTTTTATTAATGGGGGTCTCAAGATTTTCTGTAGGAAAACAATCAAATTATAATAAGTAACAACTTTGTAATACTCTTTAAGTTTCTCTTATTGTTCTACTTTGCCAGCTGGGACCTCCAACACTTTGATGAATAGAACCAGGTTGTGATATCATTTTCTAATTCCTGTTTTTAAAGAGTATGCTTCTAAGGACTCATCATAATGTATGTATATGTTTCTACATATTCTTGGTATTTATATTCAGTTTAAGTTCCTGTCTTTTTCCTAGTTTGAGCATGAATGAATGTTAAATTTTATTAATTGACTTTTCTGCATCTGCCCATGTGACCATATGATTTCTCTTTTAAATTGTTGCTGTAGTTAAGTAAATGAGTATTCTAATGTTTAATCGGTCTTGCACTCTTGGAATATACTCAACTTGGTTATGATGTATTTTAAAGCATGTGTTACTGGATTTCTTTGGCTAATACTTCATTTGAGCTTCTGCATCTATATTTGAGACTGGCCTCCAGTTTTCTTTTCTTATATTGACCTTGTCTTTTTTTAGTATCATCCTTACTAGACATATAAAAAGAATTTAGTGCACTCCTGCACACTCCA